CCTATTTACAAAGTTTTAGGTGGATGTTAATAATTTGATAAAAAGGGGTCAGTACCACGGACTATAACAAATTGTAGGAAAGTGATGAGAATTGTTTACTTTTGGAAATTATTTTCTTTAACTTTTTCCCAATTTCAACAATCCATTCTATCAGCAATCTGTAAAATATTTCATCATACCAGATTTATTAATACTCGGAATGAAATTATGATTACATTTTTTTTTTTTTAGTTTTGTGACTCATATAAAAGTAAAACTAAATAAGGATTGAAATTATTTACAGGTAAACTTGCAAAATTTCCATCAAAATTTTAATGACTTAAATGCACTATTTTTTTTTCACAGATTGTATTAGGATGTTTGTTATTGCGTGAAAGATGATTTAAGTTATCCTTAACTGACATAATTATATCTGTAAAGTATTGGATTGTCCGGAAAATAATGTAGGATTTTGAGTTTTCTTTATAATATTCCTCCATATAACAAACTGTTTACGTTTACTGGATTATTCATTTGTATGAATAACAACAATTATTAATCCTCTTTTAAACAATAATGTTTGTTTACCTCTGTAGCATTTCGCTGCTTAGAAATAATTCAGTCTTTACTAAGATGTCCACGCATGGTTTTTGTATAATTTGGTATTACGAGTTTAAACTCGGCCGGAATGGGATCCTGACGGCTGGAAACATCAAACAAGTCTGGGAGGGGGAGGAGAGCAGCATTAATGAGTGCACTGTTCAATGGTTGTTCAAACAATTTCGGGATGGAGACCTCAACCTTGAAGACAAAGGTCGTGGAAGGACTTCCTCTCTTGATGACAATGTTCTGCGGGCTTTGGTGGAAGAAAACCCCAGAACAACTGTTCAAGAACTTGCAGGGAAACTTAACCTTAGCAAATCGATCGTCGATGACCACCTCAAGGCAATTGAAAAGGTAAGTTAAAAAAGCTTGAAAAGGACTGCCAAAAAAATCAGCATTATGAAGTTTGTGCCATACTTATGAAGTTTGTGCCGAAACAAAAATGACCCTTTTCTGTTAAGAATTATTACTCATGATGAAAAGTGGATACTTTACGATAACAGTAGACATTCTGGACAGTGGTTCGACCAAGATACACAACAGTTTCTTAAATCCTGGAGAAACCATCAATGCCGAATGTTATTGTAACCAAATGAATGCAATGCATCAAATTGGAATGGGCCCATTTTGTTACATGACAACGACTGGCCACATGTCTCACGTGCGATGTCACAAAAACTGTTGGAGCTTGGGTATGAAACTCTATCACATTTGCCCTACGGATTATCATTTTATTAGATATCTGGACCACTATTTACATGACAAAAAAATTAATGGACAAGGGAATTAGAAAATGCGTTTTTGGAGTTTATCAATTCTAAAGATGGGAAATTCAATTCTGAGGGAATGGAAAAGTTGGCAATACGTTGACAGAAATGTATTGATAGTAGTGGAGACTATTTTGATTAAATAAAACAGTTGTAAATCTTTCTTTTTTTTTTTTTTAAACCGAAATCCTGCATTATTTTCAGAACAGCCCGATATTAATAAAATACCCACAGAATCTAGTCATTCTAGTCAAAAGTATTGCAAAAAATAATGGACACACCATTATATGTAACTAATGAGTTGCAATAAAAAGATTTAGACAGATTTGGTTTTGGATGATTGCTGGTGGATAGACATATGTAAACTGTGATTGGTGGTATTAGTATTAAACCTTCATACTAAATTAGTATTGAAATTTCATAATGATTTAAGTAATTGCAAATTGCAGTACTTTTGTTAACAATTTAGTTTTTACTATTTTTGGATAAAGGAATGTGCTATAACTTCAATGGAATTTCTGTCAAAAAATTATGATTCATAGACATTTAAAAAGAATAAAATAATACTAACAACTTTACATTAATTTCTATTATTACTAGACATTTATAATTCAAAGATTAAAATTAGTATTTTGTTTCAGGAACAACCACACCATAAAAAATTGATGAAAACAGAAACATACCTAAGGACAATCAAACCCAAATCTGAAACGAAAGAAAAATTAAACAAAGATTTAAAGCGATCTTTCCAAGGAATACTTTCTAATAATAAGAAATTTCCACAATTTACAGATAAAGGGAAGAATACTAATAAAAACACAAATCAAACTAATAAAGTAGAATTACATGATATAAAAAAAGATAAGAATCCATCATTAAAGGAAACAGAAATTTCATCAAAAGTTCCAGATACATTTATTAAAAAAATAATTTTTAAAAATGATGTTAAACAAATTCTTCCAAAGTTGCCAGTGCGATCAATAGAACGTAAGATAAAAGAAAAAAAACAATTAACCGTAGCAGTTTTAAATATTAGCCTTCCATCACTAAAAGAATCAAAGAGAGATAAATCAAAAGATTCTAAGACACATACTTTTCAAAAGATAACACAAAAAACAGAACATAACAATTACAATTACGAAAAACATGCTTATTTAGATTTAGAAGAACCAGAAGAAATTTACTGTACTTTATCAAATAGAAAAAGAATAATAGATGATATCAGAGGACAATCATATACTCCCAACAAGATAAAAACATCAAAAAATAGGAGTTATTTATTAAAACTTCCTATAACTGAAACAAGCAGAAATATGGGATTAAATATTCCATCATCTGAAAAGATGAATTTGCTAACCATTCAAGAACCAGACAAGACTTTCACACTTCCTTTGCCTATTAATAACAGTTTGTGTATGTTATCACAGCATAATAAAAAAGAACAAGATTTTTATAATATGGCTGAGGATCCCCCTATCAAACCTGATCAATTCAAACATAAAGAGAATGAAAGAAGAAGAAAGCAGCCCGAGTCGTTTGGTAACATTTTTAATAATTCTCTTCAAAGATATAAAACTGTAGGGACTTGTGAATATGGTCAGTTATTTAACATAAATTGTGAGCAAGAACAGAATACATCAAAAAATGACTTATGCACTTTTAGAAAAATATCACTCAATTCAAAAGGAAATATTGATAACTTCAAAAGAAATGAGCTCAATGTATTTTAATTCAACAAGAGATGACATAAGAATAAGAAGCTAATTTTGCATGCTCATTGATATAAAGGCTGTATGACTAATTTTTGTTTGACATGAACATTTTTTCTCTCAAATCAATATCTTAACAGAATAACAACTATTTTTTAATGAAATATAAATATTAAAATATGAAAGCCACTATAAAACAAAATTTCACTCAAAACCTCACAAATCCAGCTCTCAACAAGATCAAACTAATTTAAATTTAGACACTATTGATAAAATTACATGATTTATATTTATGTAGACCATATTAAATTTATATGATAAATATGTAGCCATACCAAATATAAATGAAAATAATTTCAAAATAAAGAAAATTATAAAAAAAAATCTCTTAAAATGAAGAAGCAAATAAGAGATGTTAATGGAGCTAAAGTATTAAATTTTGAAGGGTGGATTAACTAGATTAATAAAAGTAATAGTTTAAACAAATACATTACTTTCTGAAAAGAAGGTGATCTCATTTTAATAAGTTTATTCAATATGGAATCATCCTGACTCATTAATGAAAATAATCATTAATGCAAAATTTAGCTGAAGTACCAAAGAATAAATTTTTAATCAAAATGAACTAAATTATTTAATTAAGAACAAAAAATTTGCAATAAAATTGACTATATTATAAATATTGGAACTAAAGTATGGAATAGAGAAGTATGGAAACAGAAATAATCAGTGATCTCTGTTTCAGGAATTAAAAGAAAAAAAATAGATTGGTTTAATTAATAACAATTATTTTTATTGATGACATTGCATAAAATAATGTAGGTGAATAACTAATATTCAAAAGCTCCTCTCCCCTAGCAGGTATTTTGTTGCTTTAATATATATATATATATATATATATATATATATATATATATATATATATATATATATATATATATATATATATATGAAAATGAATGTCTGTCTGTCTGTCCTTTATGCATTATTAACCATTCATCTGATTGCAATGAAACTTTGGGAAGTTGTTGCGTACACTCCCGCGAAGGTTTCTGGCATAGTACTTCTGTCTTACGATAATTTTATATGTGTAATAAAAATAAAAATGTAAATGTTTTTTTGTTCAAAGCCGCTATTTTCCAAAAGTTCTTCACCGATTGCTTTGAAATTTTGACACAGCGTTGTAATTGAATTCAGGAGTGTTTTTGAACATTTTATTACCATCTGGCCTTACGTTTGAAATGTTAGCCGAAAAACCTGTCGCTATAAACTGTAGCGCCAAAATGGCTTTAACAATTACGATGAAACTTTGATACTTTTGGATAACTTGGATAAACAGTGGATACCAGGCCATTGCGGGCTCCACAGAAATGACGAGGCTGACAAACTGGCCAGAATGGTTCTGGACTGATCCAACCAGAATTCCTCTGGGCATGGATTCAACTAAAAGAATAATAAAACAGACCCTCTGAAGTTCAATGAAGGAGAAATATGCACAAAAAATTGAAGGGAAGTGATAGAGTGGATTGCTGGAAGGAAGTGGCAGGATCTCGAGAGACCTCCCTTGAGGGCAATCCATAGCATGCTTTAGGATGCTTACAGGGTATTTTGTGCAAAAGTACCTCCACCACATCGCTATAAGAGATAGTCCGACATGTCCTCTGTGCTCCTTGGATATTATGACCGGAGAACATCTTGATACATACCCAGCATTATATTACATAAGGTGTACTTTTAATGAAACGGACAACCCTCATGCTAGGAGAGCGAAATTATATTGGACTGATCAAGCAGGCATTATTTAGACATAGGAAAAAAAATAGTGTCATGGGAAAAAATTAATCACCAATCTTTTTCCAAAAGTAAAAAGAAACAAATGAGCTAATTTTCTAATTTAGTTTTCTTGAGAAACATAATCATAATAAGGTTTAAAATCAAATACCAGGTATGTCAAATTATTTGAGAAGCTGAACTTTGGCTGTAATATATAACAGCCGATGTAAAATTGATGCCTGCTGCCAGAACAAACACCGGAAACCATCGTCCATGAGAAGTTGTAACAAGTTCTGCAGTCAAAGGACCACATAAAATTCCTGGTATTGTTGCCTAAAATAAAAAATACAATAATTTCATAAAAAAATATGATCAAATAGTTGTAATCATATACAATTAGATATATTAGAAATAATATATTTTTGTTTTAATTTATAACTGGTAGTACCTATACCACCAATCATACTTCTTATAATTATCATACTTATATCATACTTCTTATGCAATTTCCACGTTATTCTCTGAAATTACATCAGTCCATTATTAGTCTGTGGGTCAAACTTACTGTGAACTCCTTCCCACACACTATAAAAAAAAAGTATGATCCCAGAAAAAAAGTAGCCACAATGTTCCAAAATGGCATCAAATCATGGTCAACTAACGAATTCGATTTGAGTTGGTTTTTGGTTACCAACATTCAAGATTTGGTTCAATTTCACCATTACTAGCTTTTTATTAAAGTTGTCTGGTCAGAAAACACAAATTAAACACTGCTAGTATTAAATAGCCCACAATAATTAAAAGTGGAAAAGCAGTACTGGTATAAACAAGTGCCTCGAGTCTTATGCCACATCACTGAGTATTGATAAATGGTATAGTTAGATGTTACATTACTACGGAAAAACCAGTAAAATAAATAAATTAGATAAAATAAAGTTTTAATATAATGTAGTAATTCAGATTGGAATAGGTTATAAAATAAAAGATTTTAATTGTTTAAATTTATTTAAAGTGAATTGAATGTTTGTGAGACCATTAATTTATTATTTATATATTTTTTAAGTATTTTTATAAATTTTATGTGTAATTTAAATATAATTTGTCTTTTAAATGAAGTGGCCATTGTCACTAGAGTCTAGGGAGCAAAATATTTTCGAGAAGGAGCAATCATCAGGTCTGGTCGGCTTATTCTGTCAACACTCGGCTTCTCCTCTCTCAGCTTATTCAACTGTTCTCGCCCTGACGTTGAAGTGGAATAGACTTGCTAACTTATGGGAATTACATTTGATAGAAATAGAATGGATTTTTTTACAAAATGAATAAATAGCTTTACACTACAATTTTTTTTCAGCAATATAATTATTTCTCGCAGGTCTTAGTAAATATTAATCAAAAAGTAGGCCTTAAAATGTTTTTAACTTTTTCTTAGTTCCACTTCTTTAATAAATAAATATCATATTAATGACGATCAAAAACTGTAAGTCAGAAGTTATATGTATAATATATCGTTGGAAAGCTGAGGATTATAGAAAAAAAAAAAATCTAGCGTACTGAGTTGTAGATGGTAATGGAGTAAGTGGTAAATTATATAATTCACTGAGTTAAGGCAATAGCATTGTTTAAAAAACTACTTTATTAAAACCCCTACCAAAAACTACTTTATTAAAACCCCTACCGTACCTCATAATTTCTGTTAGACAATTTCTGGATAAAATTGCAAGTATTTTTTTTAAGAAATATTATAATATTACTTTTTCTTCTTCTTGCAATGGCTCAACAGACCCATTACTGGTCCCTGGCATCCTCTAATAATTTCTGCTTCTCTGTACACCATTGGATAACATTTCTCCAATCTTTGACTCCTAGAATCCTCCGTTACGCTGTCCATCCATTTAATACGTGATACAGGAATGCAGTATTCTTTGCTTCTTTACAGAATAATACAGAGTGAATCTGTCCACTGTTGACTAACGTTTGCAGAATTTGCATTGATATTTTCCTAGAAACCCTTCACACATGACAAAAGTCACATATATAAAATGTTGAAAAATATTTTACATGCTTTATAATATTTATAAAGCGATAGCCTCGATAGTTCCAACAATCAAATACATCTCACTTCTTGTGAATTGGGTACAGTATTTTCAATTGGCGAATTTCATACTATCATTGGCAAATTATTTCAGCTTTGATACATCTCATTCATTACTCCACCTCCTGATCCAGAAAATATGCTGAAAACCAAACTTGGCTATCAGCATCTTCTTGGGACTTAAAAATCGAATAGGACTATACTAGAAATTTAATTGAATTTCAATTTTTATGATTTTGATAGTGAGATGTTGATACATCTCAATAAACATTTAATTGTTTCTGACTGTTAAATTATTGCACTAAGTAGGCTTGTGAATACAAATACTGGTATTCTTTTCATATGATACTGATTTTCTTTTCAGAGATTTTGGTTGTCCTTTCTCGTTCCTTTAATAGTATTTTCCAATGACTGGATACACCTTCATGCTTATATACTTGGATACATATATTTTAGTTTATAAAACAGGCATTAATATGGCTTATTTTCCTGGGAAACTACATACAATTTAATTTACTTCTAAGAATCATTAAATATTAAAAAAACAAGTGTTAAATTACAAACTTTATATGAAAAATTCAAGATATACAGTGAATTATTTTTGAATTAAGTTTTCTTATATAATTCTTACCATCGAAACCTTCTTAAACACCCTTTGTATAGAATAAAAAAAAATTGTATAGTTTTTTTGACAATTAAATTATTTTATTAATATTTGTTTGTTAATACAAAGAAATTAATATACCAAAAACGTTATTATAGCACTATAACTAAGCCATTTATCAGTACTGATCGATGTGGTAGAGGGCTGTAGGTGCCTAGAACAGTACCGCTTTTCCACCAATTAAGTGTATTTTCTATGGAATTGCTTCAAATAATTTAAAAAGTAATCAGTGTTTTAGAAAGACAAACGTATTCTTCAGATGCTTTATTTTAAGGTTTTTTTCATTATTGTTGGCCGTTTAATTACAAACGATGCTTAATTTTCAACTTGAAATTTTTTTTTTTATATTGACTTTACTGGTGCTTTTTATTGCCTGAGCCAATTATTTTTTAATGTTTTATTATTCTCTGACTACCCAGATTTAAAAAATGTCAAGTATGACGAAATCAAGTTAAATACTGATTCTCAGTGATCAAAATACTAACTCAAGTCAGACATCAGTCCGCCATGTTTGGGGCAGTGCGTTCACTATTTTTGGGAGAACATTGGCTTTTTTTAAATAAATAGTTACAAGGAACACAACAATATGCAATTTATAGAGATGTGAGGGGGAGGGAGAAGGTGCACGATAGAGAGGTCTGGCCCACAGACTAGCATGGTCATACTGAGTTTCAGGCCCTACGATTTGACAAATCTCTTCTGCACTCCCATAGACAGCGTATTACCTTACCACTAATCTTTTAAATATGACAGCCAATTCAACTCACTATCTAGAGTAATCCCAAGATGTTTACTTCACTACAGATAGTTAAATGATGGTTGTCTAATATTGACGTTCTTTCTGTAAGTGAAGATACATAGATTTATCTTCTGCCGATTTATGTCAAGCCTATTGTCCTGACACCATTCTTTAAGAAGTCTCATCGTGTTTTCGAGCAATACAGAGATTACAATAGATGACAGCCAAGTTAAGAGACAAATTTTTCTCTGAAAACTTATAACACCAGGAAGGCTTTCTTGAAGCTTCGGTTGAAAATTTTTAACAGTTTAGCACTAGAAAGTAAACAAATACTAAGTATATATCAGGCAAGTTTTTAACATTGATAAAAGTGACCTCTAGACTAGGCTGGGAACTTAAGCAGGCATTGGAAAAAGTTGCAAAAGGTATCCAAAGAAACATCAGTGTAACAGGGTCCTTGATTGAACAGAGAAAAGATGGAAGGGGAAGGCACTAGTTTTAGCTGAGTCAAGAAGTAATTAAAAACTCTTCTAGAACTAAATGGCTGTTAGGCCAAAACAGAAATGAAATCCAGTATTCATTTCATGAACATTTATCAAGTATATAATGAATACTAATTTAACTGCTGAGGAAATAAATAAATAAAATAAGAGGACCTCTGACACCTATTAATTAATTTATTTCCATTCCTCAGAAAAGAAATACAAATAAAAAATAAACAGTCTATGAAATAAATAATAACTTTGAAGAAACTATACTCACAAGCGTATTTGAAATGGCAAATGTAATACCAGCATGATTTGGAGCTATATCAGCATGATTGCTCAAATGACCTGCTGAATTGCATGCACATAAACCCATAGATATTGAAACAAACCTGGAAATATATTTATATAAATACAGATACAATGATATAATGACAAATATAACGATTTCAAGAAAAATTGTTAACAGTATAAAAAAGAACTTCATTATGTCTTACACAACAGCTGCAAGTAAATTATCAACGGTGCAAAAAGCCAATAAAAAAATTCCTGGCCCAAATAATCCAATACTTGTCATTAATCTTCGAACTGAAAGAACACTCCATTTTCTACTAACTAATGTATCAGCAAAGTGGCCTGCAACTAAACAAAGACCCATTAACAAATGAAATCTTGATATGAAGTTTTGATTTTAATTTTTGTGAAAATATTTTTTTAAACTCAACTAAACACTTAAAAAAACTAAACATTTTATACCACTGTAATAATACTAGTCATTATATTTTTAAGTCTATAAGACTAATTAAGGATCTAGAATATTATACCATAACTCATGTGGATCTTTTTTGAGATACACCTCTGTTCAACTAGAGTTCTCAAGAGTAATGATTAATACAAAGCAGATAAATTCTAATTAAGGTTAGATTTCTTCAGTTCTAATTATAGCCTGTTTTTAATACGGCAGCCTGTAGAATGTAAAAGGCTTCAAAATCACACAGCATGTGGTGAGTCTTTTCTTCATCCTCTAGGCATAAAAAAATGTGGAACTTCAAGTAATTTTATCTCCTTGAGGACAGTGACCTCTGAGAGGACTCGTTATTCTTCATAATGGACTGATTAAGAGTATGTTGTTTCATACACGGTTTTGAGCCTCACTGTTTTTCTTTATTTCCCAGGATACCATTTCTTTCCTGGCTAAACAAATAGATATGCAGAAACCAGCACAGAACTAAAATTTTTATCAGGATTTGCAAGCTTAATTTTGCCATTCCCTCTAATAAAATTTAACAATTCATAATATTATTTTAGTAAATATATTTCGGACTAAATATCATTATCTCATAATATTCATCCATGGCAAAATGGCTCAACCAGAGAAAGAGGAACCACTGAATATTAGAAATATTGAGACAAGGGCAGAGTGGTACATGATGCTTATACTTTTCAATATCCTCTGCCTTTGATAGTATGTGGTGGCTAAGTGTGCTTTCGCAGCTGCACCTTCTAGTAAAAAGCTACCTTCAGGACAGGTGAATGAATATTAGAGAGAACTGTTACGAGGTAGAAGCTTCCATAGAGAGGAGATGCCTTTAGGGATCCTTGATCCTGCCCTATAGAAGCTTGTATTTGATGAGTTGTTAGTAGTTTTAGAGGAAAAATTGGTTTCTACAGTCCTGATGGGAACAGTGCCTCTCGACCTTCTTCTGCGAGAAGAATTGACCACGTATGCTTATAAGCAGGAAGACTCAACAGAACTTTAGAAGAATCTGGGATAAGGATTATTGGAAACCCAATAAATGGAAAAAATAATCGGGGAAGGTACATACAATTGAGGAATGGAACTGGTGATGGACGATGACCTGCCTTTTTTATTATTTATCCAATGTTTTTATTAAGAATTTAGAAGGGGGAGGAGACTTTTAACAATTTAATGGAAATTTCCCTCAGCATCCATGTAAGTTATTATAAATACAAAATCTTAAAAAAAAAATTTTATTTTTTAAATATAATAATAAATATAGAGGTGAGCGTTTCTGCTACTTTTGAAAAACGTAAATAATAACTGTCCGTTGACCAAAAACAACAGTTTTTAAGAACTGTTGAACAAAAATAGTTCATAGAACAACGCAATGAATGGTTCACGGAGTAATATCTATTCGTTTAATAACATGTCTGGAAATGAATGAATCGTGTTATGTATGAAGTTTGGCATTGTTCGAGCTTGAAATGGATAGATAACCTTTGAATTTACTTGTGATTTTACATGAATGTTTAATCTTAAAAATATCATTTTTTTAATTTTTAATTTTAATATTTTGACTTTCTTGTATGCTCGAAGTTTGAAATTATGCTGCTTGATCATCATGAGTCTTTTAACTGTAGTTTAAATAATTTTTCAATTGTTTGCCTTTTCCAATTTTTATGGAACATAATAGTGTTTAATTTTATTTATGCAATTAAATTGATTTATGTGAATATATTCAATCATAGGTATCTATCGATTTTAGGTCTACAAGACACTAATATAGATAGATACATCTAAAAACATAAATTAATTTAGCCTACAAATATGCTTAAGTTAATTTAGTACTGTAGTAACTATAATGAAAGTTTTTATTTATTTCTAGCCTTCATTAATAATGAGAGCTAAGAATTACTCCCCTAACCTTAACAGTTGAAATATGTCTTATGAAAAAACTGTTGGGTTATTTTCATGATGAACCGATAGGTTCATTGGAAAGCAGAAAGAGTGTTTGGAAAAAACGAAACAAAAACAGATCAAACAGCAATTCAACTAGTGGAAAATGGGTGAACTAAAGAAAAACAATTGTTGTTATTTGTTTGAGATCAATAACTGTTCTTTTCAAAAGTTTGGTGTTTTCTCTCCCACCCCTATATATACACCATGTGGATGGCCAAAAACCAGATGGATAGATAAGATGAACAACTGTGCTTCATGCCCCAAACTGGAAAGCAGAAGCCCAAGATAGGCAGAGGTGGAGAAGGCTGGTTCAGGCGGCCAAAGATCTACAAGGTCTGTAGAGCCAAACAAAAAAAAAAAAAAATTTTAATTGTAGAATATATGAGATGGTTGACCATGATTAAAATATGAGAAGAAGTTAGTCAGGGGGTCGGTCAAATAAATATTATATATTAAAATACTGGTCACTGGTCTACCAATCGCTTCCTGCAGTGCCCGATACCGCGCCTTGATGAAGACCTACTTTGTAGGTCTTCAATGTCAGCATAAACAATCAAATACTATTTTAATATATAATCTTTATTTGACTGTACCCCCGGATCAACTCCTTCTCATCCTATATATTATTTCTAAAAGATATTTTTTGTCGGTATGCCATAGCTTCGTCAATTCTTCATCAAATCCAATGATTGACCACTCATTTTGAAGATATTCTTCTCCTTCACATGTGAAAAATAGCCCCATCACCCCGAAATTTCCAGGAAAAAAGTTATGGAGGAAAAGAAACTTTATTTGCGAATAACTCAAGAAGTATGCATTTCTTTTTTGATTGTATCCATGATAATTAGAAAGATTACTAAATTACCTACAAAACAAAAGAAAAAATCGTAAAATTATTAACAAAGATACAGTCCATTAGTTTTGGTATACTTAATAATGTCTTTCTCTTTCAAGATATTCCATTAAGGAGTAGAATAGTCTACTACATTTGTTTTCCAGTTTGATATGTCAACTTTATTATTTATTAAAGACATGTGGTTGTTCTTACATTTTATTTTTTTTAATAATTTAGGATATCTCATGATCGGGGCATTATTTTGTCTCTATTATTTTTAATATCTTTCCAGTCAGCATTTAAAAATAGGTCCTAGCAAAGCAATATGTACAAATATTTTGGTCTATTATGTTTAATGGAATATTGTAACCGACCAAGGAAATATTAATTCCTTCCTTATATAATACATAGGAACTACTTATATCCATATTGTTGAAGGAAGTTAGTCGACTGTTCTACACATCATGGGTGATAACTATTCAGGACGCAGTCTTTTTTAAAATTTTTTTTATCCATATTGTTTTGCTATTTCTTTTACTAAACAAAATTTTCTACGAATTTTTTGCTCGCGCCAACTAGTATATACATACCTTTATTGGAAGTTGGTAAAAATGGTTTAGTAAATTAATGTTGAACAATTAAAAGACAAGTTAATCTAGTTCTGCTGTCAGGGATGTTTAAATTTGAAAAATAGTTTCACTAGTTCAGGGAAAAGAAAATGGTTGCACTGTAGTTTTCCCAATAAGGAAAATCCCATAGATGTGAGAAACAAAGGATTTTTGTTTTGGCAAGCAGTTGTTGTTTGGCAGGAGCACTGGTTGTTTGAAACTAAAAGAGCTGAGTAGAGGAAAGTGTCACCATTTGGAAGGTGTGTTTGGCGAAACTTTGGAAACTGTTTGAGGGGAAATGAATTCAGTGTCACATGGGAAGAAACAGTGTATATCTAAAAAAGGTTAGCTTGCCAATTTATAATATTTGACTCTTATTTTAAAATCAGTGTTTAGTGTACTTAATTTTAGTCTGTCTCAGTATTTTGATCTGGTTGTGAGTAACCCATATCTGAGATAAAATAATTATAAAGTTTAGTTAAATATATCAATATCCTTATAATTTTATTTTTTAATTTAACAACCTCTTATTTCTTTTGGAAGTATCATTGCAGTATGAAGTGATCTTCTGAGGTTATATTATTAGTTACAATATAAGAGATATTACAATATATATATATACATACATTCCTTTTTTTTTTTTTTTTTTAATGCAAAATCAACCGATGATTTTTGTAGTTTAAGTCAATAAGTTAAATAACACATTTAATTAACTGCGTTATATATGAACCGTTCTGTTTTATTATCTTATTCCATCTCTCAGTGAGCCTCATTATACCCTCTTTCCAAAATTGTTGAGACTTACTAGCAAAATATTCATCGAGGTGCGTTTTAATTTTGTTTTTGGATTTGTGACATTTATCATGGAAAGAATTTTTCAACAAGAGAAACAAGTAATAATTGGGTGGGGCAAGGTCTGGAGAGTACAGAGTATAAGGTAGAGTGCCCCAATCAAACTGTAAGACTTCATCTGAAGGAAGTTCTTTTGTGCATTTGGTAGGACTGGAAAGGTGTAGTGTTCTACAAGCTCCTTCCAGAAGGTAAAACGATCAATTATGAAAAACATTGCTATCAACTTGATTAATTGGACAGAATAAATTCCTAAAGCTTGGTGTGAAATTATAAGTTTTATGTTGAATAGAAAAGGGACAAAATCAAATCCTAATAATTACGTTTGCATATCACTCGTTAATTGCCTTACAAAAATCTTTACCCAAGTGATGTTTGACAAATTGATGCTTTGGTGGAGAGAAACAGACTCTTTACCTGAAAATCGATCAGGATTTCGACCAGAAAGAAGTTATGTTGATAATATTTTTATATTAAGTTCTCTGTGAAATCTATATGATGAAAGGTAAAAAAAATGCACACATTGTTTATTAATTTTAAAAGAGCCTTTGATAGGTTAAATCATGCTTCTTTATAGGCAAAATTATTTTCCATTAGGGAAGGTGGAAAAAGGGTAAGCTATTAATGAACATCTTGACTTACAGGAAGA